CCGCAGCCCTGCCATAGGGTGCAGCAAGATGTGCCTCTATATATAGATGCGCATGTGGTATGGGGCCCTGCAGCTGCAGTGGCTTTGTGGCTGCTGCAGGCAGGCGACTGCTCTGCTCTCTGCCCCGCAGCGGACAATCGGAAGAAGGAGCGGGTGCCCCACAGGGGACGCAAGCCTCAGGACTTCTCCATCTTCAGGCTCTCAGACAGCGAGATGAAGGTGAAGATCTCCCCACAGCTTCTCCTGGCTACACATCGGTTCATGGCAACAGGTACCCTTGCCCTTGGGCAAGCCTTGCCTCTCTCTGCAGCAGGCCCAGCCCTGTAGGTCATCCCTGAGCTGTTCCTGAGTTGGGCGTCCCCCTCAGCCAGCAGATTCCACCTGCCTGGACCCCCATCCTGGGCGTGCTGCTGCTCCACCATCAAGGGTCTGTGTTTGGCTCCCTTGGGTGCAGCAGGGTGCGAAGGCTGAGGCCGTGCAGCTCAGAGGACGAGGGGTTCCCGGCAGCTCCAGCCTCACTGAGCAAGTGTGTGTTGTTTCGCCTCTAGAAGTGGAGCCTTTCAAGTCCCCCTACCTCTCCGAGAAGATCCTGCTGCGGCTCCTGAAACACCCCAATGTCATCCAGGAGCTCAAGTACGACCAAAAGAACAAGAAGGCAGTGGAGCATTACCTCTACCAGCGCAACCGCCCTGTTGACTACTTCATCCTCATCCTGCAGGTGCCTGGGGCAGCAACGAGCAGAGGATGGCAGGGGGTGGCCCCTCTCTCCTTGCTGCCTTGCTCTGGGCTACTTCTGCCAGCGGAGATGTCCGTATTCTCGTACGGGGTGGTAGGGGTCCCTGCAGCCCTGGGTGGGTCGGCAGCCAGGAGTGCAGGGTGCCTGTCTGAGCAGGTTTTCTTTCTCCTTCCAGGGGAAAGTGGAGGTGGAGGTTGGCAAGGAAGGGCTGCGGTTTGAGAATGGGGCATTCACCTACTATGGGGTCCCTGCCATCATGGCTGTTGTCTCCTCAGGTAAGGGCTCAGTGGGCTCCCTCCAGCCTTGCCTTCACTTCTGCAGCCTCTACAGGGCTAAGCCAGCTGGTGGCCAGGAGAAGGGGCTGGCTGTGGGGTGGGGTGACCCTGCTGTGGGGCATGGGGCAGGCAGGAGCCCTTCCTCTGCGATTCCTACACCTCCAACTGCTGTTTCAGATAACGACGTGAGGAAAGTGGGCAGCCTGGCTGGATCCTCCTTCCTACGTAAGTATTTTGGGACAGGCTGGGGCTCTAAAACCTCTGCAGCACTGGCTGGCTGGAGGAGGGTTGGGTTTGCACCCCACACAGAGCAGCTCAGGCGGTGCACCGAGGTCACCCCCTTTAAAAAACTTGGTAGAGAAAAAATGTGCTGAGGGGCTGATGCAGCAGGGTCCCCGCAGAGGGACTTTTGAGGTCCCTTTGAAGTCCCTTTGAGGTTTCAGCCATATGCTGGATCCCTGTGGGTGGATCCCAGCACAGCTGGCACTGCACCGCGCACTGCCCACGGGTGGCAGCACGCCCACACAGATGGAAGCAGTAAACCCTGCGACTTCTGGCATGGTGCATCTAGGTCTCAGCGTAACAACTCTGGACCTGTTTGCGTTCCCATGTCTCAGAGCGTGAGCTGAATGTGGGTCCCACACTGCGGAAACAGGAGCTGCTTGGGAATTGCAGAGATGGGTCAATTTACTTATGAGCCATTTGCATGTGGTGGGGGTGGAAATTAGCTGAGTTAAAAGTAGACATCCCAGTCCCGGAAAGTTCCCCACCTGCAGAGCTGATGGGTTAACAAGCAGACCCTCTGCTTGCAGGAGTTAAGAGGGAGCTCTGATCATTGGAGACTGTGACCTCCCCCCAACACTTCTTTGCCAATCACCCCTGCAAATGTTTAGTGCCTGGTGGCTTAGGAGGAGGCAGAGGTGCTGCTCACCGCCAGTCCAGCACATCCCTCATCCCAAACCCCACATGTTGCAGTGCCAATAGTAAGCTGAGGGTGCTCTGGGTGCCTAATCAAAACAAGAACCTGCTAAGTTCAAATTTTAGGGAGGGATGTCATGGAGAGAAGAGCGAGAGTCCCTTGGGGCAGGTGACTGTCACTCCCATGTGTTCTAGTCTGCGTGCAGCTCTAGGGTTCACCTATTTCTTGTTGCCTGCTTTGCTTCCATTGGAAAGGCTGGCTCATGGACTGCTGGATTAACCCTGCAATGCACATTGCTACTGCCCTGTGCGTCCACATCACGCTTGGTTTGGATGGAGGGAATAAGTAAAGCGTCTGGTTTCCCCCAGGACATTGCTGCATGGCCCGATGTCCCCATGCCCTCCGTGACCGTCCCCAGGGCCCCACTGGGGCCCAGGCAGTGGGTGCTGCCTGTGGGCCATGGGACAGGCAAGGCACGAGCCGTGGTGGGAGCCGTGTGGGTGCAGCCACGTGTGTCCGCAGTGCCGCCTGCCAGGATGCTGCTCCTCGGGGCTCCTTTGCTTCCCGTGCTGACACATGATGCTGTGTCTCGAGATGTTTTCTGCCATAACCAGCCACCCCTGCCTGCCACGGGACGTGTGCGGTGTCGCACCCTTGGCCAGAGAGGAGGCAGGGTGGGAGGCAGAGGTTCTCCCTTGTCGGGCTGGCATCCTCCTTCCTCCTTGAAGCAAAGCCCAACAGAAATGAACGTGAGTAGCATGTCATAGCAGAGAATTCAGTCATTAACCCTTGAGCATTTAACAATTTATTATTAATTAACCATTGTTATGCAACTTTTTTATTGCCAGGCAATCTTTGGCATTGGTGGCTGAGGCAGGGGGGCAGTGGCAGAGACCCAGCAGGGCCGGCCCCGCAGCAGGTCAGGCAGTGAGAGCAGGGAGCGAGTGCAGGTGGTTATCAACCTGTCCTTTGCTCCTGGCTGGACGGTTGTTCTGGGCAGCGCTTCATGCTGGTGCCTTTGCTTGGACTTTTATTTGCAGAAGGTCTCGGTCAGGAGGACACTGAAGAGGAGTTACTGGGGGAGGATCAGGGTGATTGGAAGGAGGGAGCTGCAGGGCAAATTTCCTGGGGGTTTTACCTTCAAAGCAATTTAAAAACATTAATCACATAGGCAGCGGATGGTTCCTAGAGTGTCGCAGCCATGCTGTGGGCACAGTGGCTGGAGGGAGGGCAGCTGGGGGAAGCATGGTCATGGCTGGAGGAGGGGGCTAGCAGCCAGCAGGCTTGAATCTTCCACTGCTTTCGAGGTGGGTTGGCAGCAGTGAGAGCAAAGATGAGGCATCAGGAGGTGTTAACAAGTGCATCACTCATGGTGCGTGCAGGTCTCTCCGTGCTCCCCATGGAGCCCTGCATCCCTGTGGTATGGCCCAGGGACGCTGTGGAAGGCAGCAGGGCAGCTCCCCACAGGCAGCAAGTCACAGGGAAGAGGAATGCCTGCCTTTGAAATTGTCACTGCTGCTGTAACCCATGGCAATGAAACCTGAAAAGTGAATATCCAGTGATTTGCCCTTTCTGTGGCAATGGGTCAGGCAGCCCTGGACACGGGGTCCTGTCTTCTTGGGGTTCCCATGTGGAGAGCAGCTCCTGGTGGGTGGCTCTTCTTGGTATCGCGCCAAGTCTGTTGAGACCCAGGGCCTTGTGGGGAGCTGCAGGCGGCCGGGCATGAATGCCTTTACTTTGCGTGGTGCTCCTGCCAGCCCCTGCCTGCAGCCGTGGGGCTGTGTGGAGGCAGGGGCTGTTGCACAGGGCACATTCCCTGTTTGCCACCTGCCTGCACACACAGAAGCATCCCAGATGTCAAGCACAGTGCCTTGGTTTAGCTTCTGCCCATCTCCCAGGTGGCACAAGTTGACCATAAAGTCCCCAGTCTGGCAGCGGCTGGCGAAGGGCTGTAGCAGGTTGCCAGCACTCAGCCGATGGGAGGAGAATGCTTTTTGCCCACACTATGGCTCTAGGGAGATGCGTGGCTGTGCAGACAGACCTGGCAGGAGCTGGTACCCCTCTGCCTCACCTCCTCTTACCTTGTCACAGAGCTGTCCGTTGATTTACAGCATTCAAGCCTGTGTCCATGCTGGTGTCCCTGTCCCTGGGGCTGGCGAGCACCTCCCTGGAGCAGAAGCAGGAGGGTGCAAGAGGGGTGGGAAGGGATGCTGGAGGCAGTGGTGAGAGCACAGCCTGGGGCTTCTGGCACACGATTCTTTTTCTCATTCTTCCTCTTGGTCTGTCCCCCATCCTCACCTCCGTCCCTCGCCTTCCCCTATCTCCTCCTTCCTTCCCCATCCCTCTCTCTGCAGTGCCCGTCTCAGTGTCTCGTACCTTCGCCTTCAGCAGAGGGGACTCCCTGGCTGGCTCTCCAGGTAACAGGGCATGGCTTTGGGCAGGGACCTCCGCATGTGCCAGGCTCTTTCCAGCTCCCTGTGCATGGTGCACCAAGCCCCCTCCACCCTGCATGCTGGCCAGTGCCAGGAAAGAAGCACGTATGGTACCTCGCACCGAGCAGCCCCTCACTGGTTGGAACACAGGTGGCAGATGGGGGACAGCAGCCCTGTCCCTGCCACAGCCTCCCCAGGAATATGCTAACCTCAGGAAGAATGGGATGGGGACAAGGGTGGGCCATGCTTTGGTGTTCTGTTCTGTAATGTCCTGCACTCAGTGCTCAGGTTTTCTCGCTACTTGCTGCTTCTGACCATGGTTACCCGCAGCCCTGCATGCACACTGCTCTGCTTTGCTTGCTTTCTGGCAATCCGGGTAATAGAAGGGCATTTCAGCAGCAAAGCAAAGTCAGCAAGATGTTGACGTCACCCATGCTAGGAACAAGCTGCCTTTGTTCCCTAATAAATCACCGATCAGACAAAATCCATCACGCCACATGTCAGAGGCCATCAATGTGAGTGATGGGCCAGCTTGCCTTGGCAGCCTCTGCTTCTATTCTGTCGGAATCAGGGTGGACAGGAGCGTGGTCTCCAGGCAGGTTAAGTAAATTCTGTGGGCTCCGAGCTGCAGCCAGGAGAATCTGTGCCAATTGCCATGCAGAAGACCTGCATTAGCAGGAGAGCTGTCAGTCAGTCAGGGCGACAGGCAGAGGCCCTAATCTCTGCTGCCTGTGCCAGGTCGGATGCTGCCTGCCCGGTCCCTTTGGTTTGCATGGGGCTGGCATGGTGCGGAGCCTCTGCTGCCAGCATGCACCAAGGAAGACGACCTCCACTGCAGGTGCCTGTGGGGCCTCTGCCAGCCCCAGTGTGCGTGGGGCACAGCCACTAGAGGTGACCGGTCCACCATGGCCCTGTGCCGGCACCGGGGACCCAAGCAGCACCATGAGTGAGAATGAGTGTTTGCCTCTCTGCCATCCCCTCCTGCAGTGAACAGGTCACCGTCGCGGTGCAGCGGGCTCAACCGCTCCGAGTCCCCCAGCCGGGAGCACAACGACTACGGGGGTAGCACCACGCAGCTCCACAGCAGCAGCAACAACATCTACACACCTGACTACTCTGTGCACATCCTCTGTGATGTGCAGTTTGTCAAGGTACTGCTGGGCTGGCAGGGATGGTCCCACCACAGACAGCCTCTGCCCAGGCACCCTCTCACCCTGTTCTGCCCCGGGAGCCTGGTGGGTGCCCAGTGGGTACTGGGGAGACCCGCGCTCCGGCTGTCTGGGGGTTTGGTGCCACAAGTCCCCGGGAAGTCCTGATGGGAGTTGGTGCCCACTGAGCTGGGCATGCGTGTCTGTGTGCCCAGGTCACCCGGCAGCAGTACCACAACGCACTGGTGGCCAGCCGCATGGACAGCTCGCCCCAGTCCCCCGACATGGAGGCCTTTGACAGGGATTCAACCAAGGCCTCGACCACACGGGGAACCCCACAAACGCCTAAAGAGGACCCCACCACCCTCCTGAATGAGAGGAACAGCGTCATGTGTGAGTCACCCAGCAGCATCCCTTCCCTGCCACAGGCCAAGCTGCGTGTCCCCTGGGGGGGGCTGTGCTGGGACCCACTGGCATGACAGGCATGCCACTGCTGAGACACAGTTGCACATGGACGGGGGCATGTGGGCATTTGCACGCACACAACTGTGGATGCTGCTCTGTGCCTGCACATGCACACAGGTGCAAGTGTGTAGGCACGTAATTCCTCATCGCCAAGTGCTGGTGTCCCCCGGGGGTCCCTGGCACAGGTACCAGCTGCCGAAGCTGGCATCCTACTGCGTCCTGCCCCCGGGCACAGCACCTCCCTGTCCTGCCACCACGCCTGCCCTGTGTCCCTGCAGGCAGCCGCTCCGAGGGGCTGCGCAGTCCCAGCGAGTCGGTGTTCCTGCGCATGGAGGGTATCCCATTCATCCAGGAGGAGCTGGCCGACAACGAGGAGAACAGCAAGCGGCAGAGTGAGTCTGGCCGGGACACACACAGAGTCATGACCTTGGGGGTGATGAGGGCTGTGGTGTCGCGGGGCGCTGCAGCCACAGTGGGCTTTTGCAGACAGTGAGC